TGGCCTAGTGACTAGAAAGAACTGGCAAGTGACTGAGGAGTGAAACTGGGTAATATAGTGAGTGACCTAATCAAGTGCAGCTGGTGATAAGGGAGTGAGGAACAAGTGAACGTGATAAGAGTAATGGGGCAAGAGACAGTAGGAAAGGTGAGGGAGGCAGAGCGGCCGAGCAAACCTGACACATTTACCTGAGAAAAACGTCAGGGACAGCTGTATTCCTGAAGGTCAATGCTGGTTATTTGTTCCTGATTTCAAACCAGGCTCCTGCTCAAATATCTGTGGTTGTTTAGTTTTTAGTTTTTGATTTTGGTATGGTTATTGTGAAATTTATGGTATAAATGCAGCTAATGGTGGCTAAAGGTGGTAGCAGAGTTAAAACTGAAGACCTGAGCTGTCCGGAAACACAGTTTGGAGTTGGTGGGCAGTTCCTATTGGTTCCTGAGCATTCATAGCAGACTGGGCTTTTAGGGAGGGGGGCCAGGAGCTAAAACAGAGCATCTGATACAGGGGTGAAAGGAGGATCTGGAGAACCAGATGCTATGAGGAGACTTAATGAGCTTTTGAACATACAAGCATTTAAAAAATTTTCTAGTGGAACCTTTAAATAGTAATACAAACCTGAGACCAGAAACTTTTCACTGTGTCTGCATTTGTTAAGTCTCAGAGATGATGAACGTTACTGGAACTGAAGGAGCGGTGTGTTTGTGTCCTTGTGAGTTGCCTTTGTCAGCCATGAGTAGTGGCAAGTTTTACACTGTCTACAGCAGACTGCAGGTTATCGGCCGGTGTTTTCCTAAGCTTTATCTCAGTGCACAGTGACTTATTTTTGTCATGCAGTCTTCAAATAACATTAATGGAGACTCAAATTCAGCCTAAGCAAGACAGTGTGTGGGAGTTCTTTTACATTCTGTCATTTGGAATATGATCAGTCTTGGATTTAATAAGTTAGGTTTTTGCACAAAGGTAAAGGAGCAAAAATCATGAGTTTAAGGTATTGACTGTGTTCTTGTTTATATCTGGTTTGCTGTTGTTAACACATGGCAGGCTGCATGTTATCAGTAAGTGTTGATAGCTGTCAATAAGTGTGATACTAGCTACTGCTTAGAACAGCTTGTTTAAGGAATAAAAACAGAAGAAATGAACATGGACTAGTGTGTGAACTGAACTTTGAGCTAGCTCCTATGCTAAAACCAGAGACAGTAATTTAATTGTACCTTGTGTCAAATATTTAGAATACTTCGTTATTACTGACAGATTGCTTTCCATTCAAATTATCATCTTATATGTATTTGTTAAGTCCATGACAATCAGTAGGGGTTTTTCCATTATAGGTAACCTACCAACTTGACTTGAGTCGAGTAAAGCTCATCATGGGTTCTGCTGTGTGCCGGCTTTGAATGTGCCTTGCAGGAGCTAAATTTTGGCATCCCTCAGGAGGTCGTATTAAAATCAAATTCCAGGAACACAATAAGGGAGCTGGTGCGTGCGCATAGAGCAGTCACCCGTGATTGTTTGAATGTCTGCTCTTTACACCTCAATCATTAGCATTACAAAGACAGTGTGTAAAGAGGAACTTATAATGGTTTAGAAGTAAAAAGAGGATTTCACTTGTTGGTTTAGAGGTAAAACGGGGCCATTCAGCGAGCGTCATGGGCAAAGCAATGAAGACGTCACATTTCTGAAAGTGTGTGTTCTGCTTGTTCAATTGCTCATACAGTCTCCATTACTGGCTGATTGTTGCACTATAGAGTGATCCTTCACATTGTCTTTTCTTCCTCTGCCAAGCTGACTGTGTGTGTGTGAGGGGAGCAGCCCCTCCCTCCTCTAAAGAGAGATTGACACAGAGAAAATACAATGGAAAACAGAGAAGAGCAGTCCATATCAACCTGGGAGGTTATGTGGAGAGAAGTACGGGTTATACTGGGTTTTGACGGTGGAAAGGTTTTTCCAAAGTGATTCCTAATAACTTTACCTTTGCGAGCTGATGAAATAGCAGATCAATAATATTAAAATCTAGGATTTGTTTTAAACTTCATGCCTTATTTGTTCCATGTAGTCTTTAATGCTACTTGTTTTATACACATTTACCACTGGTAAACTTTCACTTAAAAACTGCACCATAAACTGTGGTTGCTGACATATATATTGTTTATCATCTAGTACTGTACATCACAATATGAGATTCCTTAAAAAACTAGAACTCATTGCATACAAAAGTGGACCCAGGTAACGTCCTGGATGTACACCATATTTTATACATTTCATTTCATAATACCCATAATAATATTTTTAGGTTTTTCCCCTTTTCTCCGATTGCTTGATTCTCATGAAACACATAACAGTTTTACAGTACTTACAGGCCTGTAAATAAAAATTATCTGAAAAGGACAAAATGAATCCTTGGTTAAAGATAATTCTTTTAGTAATCTTCCCCCAAAATACACACACTTTACAACTTCCATAGCATTTTGTACAGTGCATTAGCCTCTAATATGTTTAAAGTCCCTCTTTTTTCTGACTGGTTTTCTAAACGCAGATGATGCTTATCTACTGCAAGGCCTGAACATAGAGGAGATATACCCAGAGACAAGTAGTTTTATCACATATGATGGGTCAATGACCATCCCTCCATGCTTTGAGACAGCTACATGGATCCTGATGAACAAGCCGGTGTACCTCACACGCATGCAGGTGAGTTAAACCCTGGCCTGAAAGACAATTCCTAAAATTCACAGGGGATTGTCAGTCTCAGCTGGGGATTTTCTCTGTCATAGACTTCTCATATTCTTCCTGTGAAATATGTCAGCCTAGCACTGAGGCTTTTACAACAAAACGTTCTCAGCTCTTCCTCTGTCTAACCCTCCATAGAGTCCTGCCTGGAAGAAAATGCAGTGGGTCAAAATGCCTGTCTTACATTTTCATGATGCTTTTGCCAATTTATCTGAATGGTTTCTTCTCTTTCTCAACCTCTGTGCTGGTCTAAGATGCACTCCTTGCGGCTGCTGAGCCAGAACCAGCCATCTCAGATCTTCCTGAGCATGAGCGACAACGTTCGCCCAGTGCAACCGCTGAACAACCGCTGCATCCGCACCAATATCAATTTCAGCATGCAAGGCAAAGATTGCCCCAACAATAGGGCTCAGAAGCTCCAATACCGAGGTAGGAACCGTAACCTAAATCACCGTGTTGCCATGTTATCTCACTTTTTCCATCTCTGACATTTACTCTGTAGATTGTTCCAGAACTAACGATAACTTCAGTCTTATCATGCAAATACATCTGTATATTCATCAGTCAGCATATCTTATCCTTTATAAAATTAGTACTCTGACAAGTTTTCACCAGATTTACTCTAAAGGAAAATGGAAGTTTATCAGGAATGGGGATTACATTTTTTTATGATAAAGTGGCACTCAAAGTATTTGTGGAGATGTGGAAACATAACAACATTGCTACAGTATAGTCCGGTAGGGCAATAAACACAAGTCAGATGGATCTTGATCCTAGTCAGATAATCAAACAGGCTGTAAACAAGCCAACAGTGTAAGCCAGATTGTCTAAAGCATTTTTGGTTAGGACTAACCAAATAATCATATAACTTGGAAACAACAGGGCACTAATGATTAAGCAACAATGATCAAATGCTAACATGGTAATATCTTAAAAATAACAATGAGAACATATTTCCTCCTTATTACCTTATTGCTAAAGAGTTTGCAATTGTAAGAGCTATCATCATTTGGAGATAAACAGATAACATACAAGAATGGATAATACTTATTACTGTTCACCTTTGTCAGGACAATCAAGAAAGGTAAAGGTTATCAGCCAAATCAAAACTATATAGACAAAAACAATGTGACAAAAGAATATAAAGCTTTATCCTGTATACCTATACTGTAATGTTGTTGTCAAGACCACCTAAACTGAGACCAAGTCAAGACCAACACCAGACCATTGCAGTTAAACTGAATTTGATTGTTAGTAGTTTATTTATTTATTGTTATTTTTGTTTTTTCTTAATTTTACCAGAATAATTCCTACTTAGATTTCTGTACCCTGGCAAGACGGTACCGATAAAACACCTTTGGGATGAATTAGAGCGGAGACTGCGATCCAGGCCTTCTCATCTAACATGAATGTCTGACCTCACAAATGCGCTTCTGGAAGAATGGTCAAAAATTCCCATTAACACATTCCTAAACCTTGTGGACAGTCTTCCCAGAAGAGTTGAAGCTGTTATAGCTGCAAAGGGTGGGCCAACATCATATTAAACCCTATGGATTAAGAATCAGTTGTTGCTCAAGTTCATGTGCATGAGAAGGCAGGCAAGCGAATACTGTTATACTGCAATATAGTGTATATCTGTAGTGGGCCAGGCTAGCTCTAGCACTTTGTAGCTGGTCCCTGCACACTTGTCTCACAGCTGGTTGCACCGACTGCACAGAGCTTTCATTGTCATTTTTACATTCATTCTGGTATGTCACCTTTTTTACATTCATTCGGCTTAAGATGCTCCACAGAGTCTTGATATGGTTAGGGAAAACCTTGGCAGTGATATTCACAAATAAAACAGATGATGTACAGGCACTTTCCCCACAATTGTGGTCTTGACTGGTCTTGAAATAAAATCCTGAGTACACTTTGTCTGAGACAAGACAAGACAGGGTAAAAGTGTGGTTGATTCAGAGATGAGACCGACATGCAAAAAGTGCTCTCTGGACCAACCTAAAGTACTACAACACTACCATACAGTGTATACTGTACGGCAGTCCCTCTGTTGTGAACACATTTTAGCTTGTAGATTAATGATAACAAATGATTTCAGTGGACGTGTGCTGAAACAAAAAAAAGGAAAAGGAGCTAAGAAAAAAATGGGTATATAAAAAATAAATAGAAAAGCAAATTAAATAAAGATTGAATTTATTTTCTAATTGGACATAGTGGAAAAAAATCCAAAGATTTTCTATATTTTTACCAACAGATTGAAGGTTAGGGGAAACACTTGTGAAAATATTTATTTCTGTCTATATACAGTGGGTACGGAAAGTATTCAGACCCCCTTAAATTTTTCACTCTTTGTTATATTGCAGCCATATGCTAAAATCATTTAGGTTCATTTTTTTCCTCATTAATGTACACACAGCACCCCATATTGACAGAAAAACACAGAATTTTTGACATTTTTGCAGATTTATTAAAAAAGAAAAACTGAAATATCACATGGTCATAAGTATTCAGACCCTTTGCTCAGTATTTAGTAGAAGCACCCTTT